CCGACTAAATCAAGCCTGGAAGCAGGAGCGGCATCCACTTCCAAAATGGCTTGCCTCTAGAAACTCTATGTATGAACAGTGCAGGCTGTTCGTTCATAGGGTCGCTATGAGTCATCTACGACTCGACGGCATTAAACAACAAACAACAACAAATGACATATTTTTAAAAATCTTTTCTGAGCATTAAAAGTTTAAGATATAATAATTTCATTAACACTTGCTGTGTTAATGTTAAGGGTCATCTCTGCAATGAAAGTGAGGGTATGCAGATAAGTTAATAAATGTTACACATATTGTTTAGAAATGATGGAAGGCAAGTCAGTGAGGAAATTCTGAAACTGAAGTGCAGTTTACCTTTCAAGAGTTTTAATCATATTTGTCCAGAGTTCAAATTCTTCTAAAGATCGACTATTGTGTTTCTTTTCTATCCCCCCCCCCTTTTTCTCTGTCTACCTGCTTATACTTTACATTTCTCTTTTTTCCCTTTTAGTCATTGGCTTCAGCCTCTTCTAATCTTTCTTTCCAGAGAGAAAAAGTGACTTACTCTGTAAGACTTTCTGTGTGCTTACAATAGTCATGGTGGGTACACTCTCCTGTGTGCTCAAGACGTGATTCCAGAAGCATCCTAAGTCCGTGGTTGTTCAGTATGACTCATAGTGACCCTGTGAACAAACTCTCTGAGCTATGTCCTGTCCTGCACCATCATCACAATCTCTGGCACACTCAAGCCCATAGCTGTAGTTACTGTGTCAACACACTTGGTTAAGGGTCTTCCTGTTCTTGACTATCCCTCCACCTTCTCTAGCATGATGGCCCTCTCCAAGGTAAAATCTCCTAGTCTAGCTCTCCATTTTTTCACTTTGGGAAGTGGAAAGAAGTTCTGCAATTGTTCGTGCACTTGGGGGCTGTCCATGAAAATCATCATACATGTATATGTCACACATACACATATACACACATAAACTCAATCTCGTGAGAGCATGGGAAGCTATTTTTCCAGTAAACTACTCAAGCAACATGACTACATGGCTTTAGTCAGCTCCAGGACTTCCTGCCGTCTCCATGTCCAACCCTGGGCTCAGTCTTTCCCTTACTAGATAGCTATACACCCCAAATTCAGTTGAAATCAATTTACCTGCTGGGTAGATAGAGAACAGCCCTTTGTACTAGTCATTGAACTATCCTCCCATCCCCACCAGGTATGTAGTCCCTATCCATCTCTTTCTATCCATTCAGCAAATACAAGGCCAGTATCTTCCTTCTGTGACAGTGACTGCCCTGGTCAAGACAGAAACAATGGGAACCTAATGTGTTCTTAACTCTTATATTATTAATGGGAACGTAATGTGTTCTTCACTCTTATATTATTAATAATATCTTGTACACTCATTTTCTATTATATTTTTTATTGCTTGTCATCCTATTGCCAGTGAATTGGTTTGTTCTCCTAATTGCTTTCAACTTTTCCAAAGCATAACTATGTTTTTAATACAGCTCAAAAACCTGTAAATCCTTGTCCACAGCTGTCCACTAATTGTTTGCTTGACCTAAAACTGTGAGGGGAGTATTACATAAACCGCATTCTTAATGGTTCCTTTTGGATCCTTTACTACAAGGACTCTTATATTTGCATTTCTACATGTAGGTACTCATTTAGACCTGTCTTATATTGTCAGGAGTGTCCATTCCTTGAAAAAGCTATC